ACCTACTATAATTAGGTGGGTGAATTTCTTCTAACAAGCTAACTAAAATTGTTAATTTTTCTTTTTTCTTTCCAAGGAAAGCTTCCGATTGAAATTAAACTTTCTTTATATCGTCACATTTTTTTAGTTTATCTGATATTCGATATCTATATATTAGGATCCAGTTCAAGAGAAGAATAACTACATTGATAAGAAAAACAAATGAAACCTAGAAAAAAAGAACATACTTTACTTCAAATAAAACCAACAATTTTTTTTTCATTAATAGAAAAGACTAACACAAGAACAAATTCCATCTTCCTTTCTTCTTCATCCATCTTGATAGCAATTGAACAAAGTTTCATCTTCTCAATTTCTCATCCATGTTTGCAATACAAATTTCCCCATCATATCTAGCACTATTTATACGTAAAAACAGTTTAGCTTCTTCATAATTTTTTTTCTTAATATTTACAATTTGTTTGATAATTTTTTTTTAAAAAAAAACTAAAAAGGAATAAAGATGTTAGTAACAAATTGATTAATTGTCCTTTTGTGGTGTCAATCTTAGAAGAAATGTTAATGGCGCAAATGAAATATGTTAGGGAAAAAATCAAATAAGGAAATACAAGTTCTACTAGTTAGTCAATGAAAAAGTCTACATGACTTTGATAATTTAATTGTAAAACTTTTAATTGTTAAAATTCTTATTTTTTTCACTTTATAAATTTTCCAAAATTAAAATATGAATGAGTTGACCAGTTATGTATACCAAGGAATTGTTAAAACTCTTTTCTTTCCATTCATCAATTCTCCGAATTGATCAATTGTACATATTGATGGATTAAATTGGTAAATGAGACTAAAGGTTTATTCACATACACATTTTGAAAGAACATGTATTTGTTAAGTGAATATAAACTTTTGCCCAAAAAATAAATGAAAAGAACATGTGTATTTTGATTTGGACTGACTGACTATTGATTAATATCAAAATAAAATTAATTTAGTTAATTTTTTAAATTTCTAAAATTAAATCAAATCAAATGAAAATCATAACCGTCGATCTGGTTATTATCAGTTTGGTTAAGCTTTTCTATTTATTTTCGATTTAGAAGTAAAAATTTAAAGACTTTCGATAAACACAAATACATAGTACATAAACAATCCACATTGTATCGTTTTAATTAAGCAATATTATTACACGAACAAAATAATTCAATTAAGAGAAAAATGTGGCTACCTTATATGAGATAGGTAGGTAATAACTAAAATAAAAAAAATTAAGGACTTGGACTTGAAATTGTTATAGTTCAGCTAAAATTTAAATGTTAAAATTGAGAAAAGATCATGTAGTTAAAGACTCAAGTTAATTATAATTTAACAAAATATTTATATTTTTATATATGATAATATATAAATAATAATAAAAGTTATATATCTAATTTATTGATTTGGTTGAATTATTTTTGCACTAAAATATCTTACAAAAGTAACCTTGTAAACCACCATGTATATCACCACCGCTAGTTATTATAATGATCCGCCACCATCATACAATCGCCACAACCTAGTCCTATCACCCATCACCACCATGCCGAACACTACCCACACCAACTTTCTCAGTGTGGATTCATTGGTTAACTGTTTTATGAATAATGTTTCCTCCCTTACAACTTATTTGTCTACTTTACTTTTAGTCATAAAAAATGTTTCCTTTCTAATTCTACACGTGACATGTTTAAAACAACAAGATTAAAAAGTATTTTGGTACATGCTACATACCTATAGTTTAAAGCTACAAGACTCAATAGTAGTCTTTACTTTCTGAAAATCTGTGTCAAGTCCAAATCGGACAAACAAGTTAAAACGGGGGTATAAAACTTGAGATTTTCCCTTAAAAATTGATGTCAAGATGAATCACACATTTAAATGCTATGAAAAAACAGTCCTAATTATCTGGCGTATGTATCTAGATACAATATCTTAATAATCATATAGGTTTTCAAATTCAAACACCCTAATAAACATCTTATTTTATCATAATCTCTAAAATTTCCTACTCATCTAAAATAATTTCAGAGATTTCCTCTCAGATACATCACTTCCACCTCGTTGATATATCCTTATCCCTCTCGGATACATCCCTCCCTTACGTATCCAGATCCTATCCACTCTTGGATACATCCCTCCCCTATGTATCCAGATCCAATCCCCTGTCTGATAACAAACAAAACAAACAAACAAGGCCCAAGTCTTTCTGCCTGTAGGTTATTGCACTGTACAGTCTGTACTCATGCTGGAGATTTGATCAATCATAACTTCTTATATATGTTGTTCGCATAATGAAAAATAACTAACAAGATTCAACAAAACAACAATCTTCATCTGAAATAGAAGAAATTTTCTTTAGAATGTCAGATGTATAACACAAACCAGAATAGGTAATTTCCTTTCTGTGGATGTTTTTATCAATGACACACACCCTCCTCCTCCTCCCCCTCCCTTCATTGCCTCATCGAATACAGGTATTCCATTTTATCTTTCATCGCCCAGACTCCAGAGAGTGATAATTAGCCAATGTCAGTTTTCCTTACAATATCGTGCATCACCACTGGTTTCCCAATGCCAGTTACGCGATACATTTTCTTATTCAAATCTAGCAAGAAAGAGAAATATCTAAAAGCAATGTTGTAATATAACACCTTATTATGTTTTCTAAACAAACAAGAAGATTACTCACCAGGGCTAAGAGTGAATAGCAGGCAATCGTTCTCTACAACAGCACTGTTTTATAATACTATGAACACATGTACATTGGGATGTTGCGATAATATACTTGCTGCAACATTATGATTTCTTCAGCAATTTACGAAAACCTGTTTATTTCTAGTAGATAACACTAACCTACTAATTCAAGTTCTACATATGCAACGAATACTTGAAAGGTTGCTCCCTCATTCAATTTCTTTCATTACTAGAGCTGCAATGAGCTTTTTTCCTATCTACACGCTAGTTTCTTTCATAATGTATAAATGAACACGTGATTCTCCTATAGATTTACATTATGTATGTATGGTATGTTAAGATGTACTATGAGTCACTTCTACAAGAAACTTCCACTTTCTATTGATAAGGCATACTTGCTCTTTTATCAGAGCACTATATGGAGACTAACTAAAATGTAGACCTATAGGCAAAGATCAATTACAATTCCACAAAGTAAATGCAACAACTCAGAATGCAAAATACCAAACAGAAATACAGAAATATTGAAACTAAGAACTAAGATCGAATGAAGGAGAGAAGGAACTAAATGTAAAGAAAGTAGGATGAGAGATACAGACTTTGCCTAAGCATGATCATAACACATAAACTATTCTTTCTAACTGAGGGTCCTTTTAAACTAGTAGATAATTGGGCCTGGATCCCAAATCAACCTTTGTGAAGGTCGTCTGACTCAATTTCTCAGTCCAATAGTCGCTTGCATGACATCCCTATAGATATCGACTCAGGGCTTGGACTGATTCATAACACCCAAACTATTCCAGCATCCATATTAATTTCACAAGGATGTCTATTTGTGTGCGCAACCGAAAGGATACACTTGACCTTTCATATTATCAGTTTTTCCTGAGGGAGAGGAGGTGAAATCTTCTTTTACTTTCTTTCTTTCTTTCTTCCTTTCCTTCTCTCTCTTTTGGGGCATCCTCAAGACCTTCAAGTACATAACTAGGAACTTGACCATTAAACGCATCTCAAAAGCAGGGGTGGATTTATTGGGTAGATTATGGTGCACATGAACCCATGGTGTATAGGTGAAACTAGGTATTTTATGTACATATTTTAAATGTTTTAGAATCAGTATAATATTATCTACCAACACCTATGCTCCAAGAAGGCTAAATGGTGCACTTAGTAGAATGCTGAGTTATTTACCTAGAGGAATAGGGATCAATTCCCGCTTAATGCATTTGTTCCTCTCCTTTTCTAGTGCCGCACCCATCTTCTAAAAATTCTAAATCTGCCTCTACTCAAAAGTGTTCATGCTTAACTGGTGACATGTACAATCAGCGGATGAGAAGACATTCTTAAGCAGTCCTAAACCTCAAGCAACTGAACCTCGTTAAACTAGTAACTGATAAACAATCATAAACGAACTCAACCCTGTATCAACAATGTAAAATGGACAATCAAAGAAATGAAAGATTCCAAAAAGGCCCATTTTGCAAAGACAAAGCTGCAGTAATACTGCACCTTCAGTTAAAGAAAAGTTATCTATATGGACTACATAAACATGCAAGTAATGAGGCAGCATCTGAACACTGAATACAGAAGTACAAAATACCCCAACCTGGAAACATGGAAAGAGAAGCATAGATAAAAACACAAGTCCCCCACTAAAAAGAAAATCAAAAAGATATTGCCTTTCCAAGACATCCAACTATTAAACTTCACACTGATGCAACGATATATATTGATTTTAACATGACGGATCTGCAAATCATGATTACATCTTCAGAAAGTGAAGTGTTTCTGCTGCAGAAATTTGACTATTAAGCAAATTGACACTACATATACAACATGATACAACTGCACCAGAAAAGTGTACAACCTAAATTTAATAATTAAAAGCCAAAGCTGACTCTGGATTCTAAAGTAGCAAAGCTCTTGCAAATTTCCATTAATATCTACACATGAAGAAGAATAGGATATATAGGAGTGAATTACCATTTCTAAACTGCATGCAACTAACCAAACTATTGCCTATATACTCTAGTGGAGCTCTCTTCTTCTCATTATTGATCTTTCATTGAGCACGTGCATTTCTTCTGATGCTCCGTAAGTTCCTGCAGGATTAGATTTCTGAAATGAAACCCACCCTTGGATAGAATTGTGACAACTCTCTTACGTACATACTTCACCAAGACCAGTAACTACCACTAATGAAATCATGTGACATAACTATATTGAAAGATCTCAGAAAATAATAACTCGAATGTAATTAATCAGAAACTGGAAGCAATTTCTGTGCAGAAATGGAACAGGATAAAGGAGACCAGCTAAAAAATTGCATGGGCCTGACGTTGCCTCAGCTTTTCTGCTAATGTACAGAAGCTGGGAGTCAACTGGTTGTTGTTATTGAGGTTATCAAAAGAAAAGATTTGACTACACCGCTTAATTTATTTTGTGTCTAGCTCACTTCCTTTTCCACTGAATTTCGGGATATTCAATCACTGGAGTGAATTCATGAATTACCTGAATCTGCCTCTGCAGAAACTTGACGTATTCGACTGCTTCTTCCAACATGTCGGCTGTGTTGGTTTGCTGTGGTTGGAAAAACTCAATGTTAGTCATGAATTGCCTGAAGTACAATAAGAACAGCACATACAACTAGAAATGAAGTAGTCAATCTATCTGCAGCTAATTTCACTGTAAAGTGGTGCAGCAAAGATACTTTCTAGTTCAACCCAAATCTGCGAGACATATTTTTTTTTAATTACAAACCTTAGTTTTAACAGTTTCATCTTAATCAAAGAAAATCAAATTTCACCACCCATAAAATATCACGTTATTGTAAGATAACTTTTCTTCTTTGTTCTGTACATCCTTAACTGCTGATCCTCATTAACCACACACTCAACATCTTGTCCAGCACAAAAATATCCAAAATGAGCAACGCACTGTTTCTTAGTGAAGTCAAAACATTTAGGATCCCATAGACATGATATAAGAATTAGAGATGAATCAGGCCATAAGCCAAATTAACATTGAGGTATAAAAGAAGTTCAATGACGGCAGGCTCGACAAATGATGTAGCGGTGAAAAGGAGAGAGACAGAGAGAGCAAAATGTATAAAGAGAGAAAAGTGAGAGAGATTGAGATAATAAAGAGGGGGTGTTGTACTACTCAAAATCTAAGATATCTTGAGAATCCAAATCAAAGCTATCATATTCTCCAATCATGAATGTCCACCAATAGAAGGACATTTTATATTACCTCTCAAAATCTAAAATATTTTGGTATGCATTCAGGCAGAAAAAGACATGTTGGTGTGTATTCTCTAAGGAAGTAGGAGAATGCTCTCTTTGCTATTACTGTGTTAAGAACTCATTCTTCTTAAATAGTAGGTAAAGACTCATCTATCGACTTAGAATTAAATATATATTGATTCTTTAACCCATATTTAAATTATACATCAAATCAAGATGTACTTGGTGCATTTCCCCATTAGATAAAAACTCATTTTCTTTATACAATAACATATATGGATTCTTTTACAAAGACTTATATCATAGATGATCGAATCAGAACCTACTTGGTAATATAAGTGGTCATTGCCTAAGCTTAAAGAATTGATCTATTGGTTGTATTTTTGAAGTGTGGGAATGTATTGTTGCTTAAATCTGGCTTTGATGTTTTACCAAAATACTTATTTCGAAATGATACTCTGACCATACTTGGAACATATCAAACAACTTGGAGTGATCTTCTAAAATATCCTACCAATCAATCTAGTTTGCCTATGATCTGGCCTTTACTGCAACTGGCAATAAGAGAATTGAGATTTGACAAAATCAAGAATGGAGTTTTGTTAAGCAAAAGCTCAGGGTTTTTTTAAATGCTAAATGACTACGGTGAGTTCATCACAAATGGATTGGTCATAAACAAAGGAGAGATTCAATGAGGATAAACAAAATTTATCTTATCCCTTACAATTTCTAAAGATTAGGCCGACTCTAATAATGGTTGAACTTTGGGTGAATAGGTAAGAACTTATCTCTCAAACGCCGAGTAATGAGTATACATTGACCATAATCAACCCAATAGAAAATGGCAAACCATTTGGGAGGGACTCACTGGTATTACAAAATAGTTGGCCTTTTAAGTATGGCTAAAACATGGGCAGTTTGTTCTTTTATTTTTTGAGAATGGTACACCTTCTATATATCCATAGGTGTACTACAACAATGTGTAGTCCCCCATCACAAAAATTGCCTCGTATACAAAATCCTAATAAATCTAGTTACAGACGATCAATTGCATTAAAAACATTTTCTGTATTGGACGATTTGTTCTTTGAATTTCTAAATTCATCTTCAAGATTGAATAGTGTTAAATTGAATGAGATGTCAGCAAACTGGATTCAAATGCCATAAAATATGTTTTTTATTCCTAATAGCTACTTCTCTTCATACATTCGGTAGACTCACCCATTAAGACCATTTATGTCATAAAGAAGTTGATTATCAATTTGATATTAAAGGCGGGTGTCTTGTTCATCATTTTTCCTGTAGAGGGAGACACGATAGAAGTGTGAAAATAACAGGTGTCAAATCCCTCAAACTAGCACAAGTCAAAGCCCTCGTGAAATTGCTATTTATGCAAAACTTTGAAAGAAGTACAAGGAACTCCAATAAATAACTTACCTTGTCCATATTTGGCACCAGTTCCTGAAGCTTCCTAATTCTGTCACTTATACGCGTTCGACGAACCTTGCACAATAGAAGCACATGCACAACCTTATTAGACTAATAATTGAATGATTTAAATCGCCTATAAACACAGGTAATTACAAGCAAAGAGAGAGAAGGGAAAAATGCTTTACCCGCTCCGCTATGCTGCGAGGATGGGTAGCACAGCCACGCTTTGCTCGAACCTTACAAGGCACCAAATCATCCATGAGATTCTCCATTTCAGCATCCAGTGACCCACCAGAACCATGTAACTGCCCACTTGACTCTCCTTTCTACACCTCCCAGCACAAACAACCATAAGTACGAAAATATTAATAAAAACAACGGAGTTTCAGGAGGGGGTAATTCCAATCATACAACCATCAGACAGACTTGCTTCAAAGTTTATGCACAACTGTTTCCAACAATTATTTGCTGTTAGTGCCATTAACTAGGAGTAATAATTTCTTATCACTATTTTTACGGAAATCAATTTATTGTCCATATATATTGATCTTTCAGCATAGATTATATTTGTATAACAACCAAAAGACTTGAAGATCAAATCCAGACAGAAACAATAAAAATAAAAGAGGCATATAGATACACCAATATATGTCAGACTCCCTGACTGTCTTTCAGACAACACAACCATCTGCATATATTTCAGAACCTGGGAAAATTTTTCTTCAAGTAGAAAGATGACCTTACTTCCACATGGAAAATATATATATGTTTTCAACAATCTCATTAGATAGACATAAAACACTATACAAAGTGTAGACAAACCTTTATAAGGTGAGTCAGTTCATCTACCCCATCTCAAATGAGATGAATAATCAAGACAGTGTTAATTAACAAGTAAAAATCATTACTTTTCAAGGTTAAATTAACTTTGACATAAAGCAACAGTTGCAGGAAAACACAAAAAGATCAAAACTATTAGTAATAGCTCATTAATAGAACACATTAAATGAACTAAAATCCAAATGATTAGCATAAAATTCTTGAAATACATCCAAGCAGGCAGAGATCCTGGGTTCAAATCACCCCAATCCCCCACCCCCAAAACAATCTCAAGAAAAAATAATAACCCCCATTCATGGATAAATTAAAATTCAAACTTTCGGGTAAGTTGTTAAACTTATACTAACCAACTGGGATACTAATTTTCTGGGGGAACTTTCGGAATCATCGTCTCGGGTTCGCTTAGCGGACTGCGAAACATCAACGGATGGAGAAAGATAGTCCAAACTGGACGGAATTCCATAGTTTGAGAAGTAACCATCAGAGCTGATATGTGAAAGAAACTCCGCCGGAGAACTATTCTGCCTGAGAAAATTGCTACTACCACCGGATTCAAACAGACCCGGATCGCCAGTGAACCTAGTAGCTCCGCCGGTTTCCAGCTTAAGCTTCGGAGTTGATGGGTGAGGTGGTGGTTTATTGGGAGTGTGTAAAATGGGAGAAGAAGGGTTAAGAATAACTTCGCTCTCAGTGTCGGATTCAAGTAGAGCTTCTAACCATGTCGCCGGAGCTGACCGGAAACGGGAAAGTCCACCACCCCCGTCACCGGTAGTTCCACGTTGCATCGGTGAAATTTTTTCTAGCAAAAGTTAACTTTAATTTTTCTCTTCAGGTGAATTTTTTGTTGTTTTTATGTTTAAAAAAGGTGAGGTTAAAGAAGAAGATGGAGTAACACAAGAGTAGAAGCCTCTATTTTGTATAGCGTATGTACTTCTGTTCTATGGAGAAAATAGTTGACAAGTATTCTCCATCATTAAGCTACCTACTTTCTTTTTCTAATTTTTTTTTAATAATTTATGAATGTAAATATTAGTTGTATTGTTTAATGATAATTGTAATATAACTTTTAAAAAATAAATTGCAGAGATTATTATCTTTTGGCACAAATAACCTTATTATATTTATGTATATATAATAAACAATGATCTTAAAAGATGAAATGTTTTTATGGTCTTAAAGAATTAAAAGAAAACTTAGCTAGATTGTTAAGTACTATCATATTTTTTTATTGATTTTTAACGTTATTCGATGTTTATATTGAAATTCAATTATATTTAAATTTATTATTTTATTAATTTTGTAATTGATATTTTATATTTACATTAGAGTTCGACTAAGTTCAATTTACACTAATAAATCTCACATTATAGAGTAAAACATTTTTATCAAAAAAACTCAAACTCAAAAGCAATTACCTACTTTGAAGATATAAAGTACATAGAATATGTACATCTTCTCATATAGTTCCTAATGTTTTCTCAACTAGGTTTTAATCTATATAACTATGGGTTTTTTTTTCGATCATGTTTTTGTGAAAGAAAAAATTACTGGCACATTTGATCATTCATTTTTCATAGTACTTCCTCCGTTTCATTTTACATGATATCAAAAAGAATGTCACATTTTCTTATATAGTAAGTATTTAAAGGTATAAATTTTTTTTATCTTTATTGTTCCTATTTAATTTTAAAAATAGTATTTAAATATACTTATAAAAAGAGAAAAAAGTGAATTACTTTTTAAAGAATAATTTAATAAATATTTTAAAGTCCTCATTTATTTTTTAAATTTTATATCTATTCAAATGTTGCCATATAAAATGAAACCGAGATATTAATATTTTTCAATGCTATTGTAAATAGAGAGAGCCATTAGGAAAAGTATGGTATGTGTTGATGATTTGCGGCGATGCAACGTCATTTGAGGTCTACGCTGTGCAACCAAAGCCTACTCGCAAAGGAGCGCGTGAAAATACGGCCCACCAAAGATAGGAGCTTTCCATTTTTCAACAAAAGGTGGGGGAGGGCTTTTTTCATTCAAACCCCTTTTTATCTTCTAATAAAAAAAAACCTTATACATTTCATGGAATATTAGAAAGATACCCAATTTTTTAGAGTTTTAAAATTTTGAAATTGGAAATGGAATTTTTTTGACCATATTTTTCCTAAAGAATATTTAAATGTATTTTTATAAAGCATATTTTATATTTCCATTTTTAAAAAAATTAATAAAATTAATCAACTCAATTAACTTAATCTCAGATGTGCAATTTAATTTTCTTAATAAGAACAATATCTAAAATTAAATAGTCACGTAAGGTCATAAATTAGATTTCATATTGAGTTAAATATAGAGTTGTGTTTGGTTATTATTAATTCTAAATAATTATTTGTTGTTTGTAGTATTTATCATAAAAAATATGAAACATAAATTGTTGGGTTTATTTTATAAAAATTAAATATTTAAGAAAAAATTAAAAAATATAATTAAATTGAAAATAAGGTTTTGGGTTATTGGCAAGAAAAATGATCTTATTTAATTGAGAACAAGTTATTTCAGAATTATTATTTTACTATCAATATGATATAAAATAACATTACAATCTTGAGTTAAATTATTTTAATTAAAATATAAATAAATTTATTATATAATTAACCTCAGAATTAATTATCTCTTACTTATCTATTGTACACGCTTATGATAATAATAATAATTAGTAAAACCGAACGAACGGTAAGCATCATTATCAAGATAATGACACGCATAAATAACAAAAAGCTTATCTTAATTTAGTGGCAGGGGAAGAGTAAAGATTCCAAATTAATGGGATTCACGTGAGTAGAGAGCGCGTGAATATCTATTTTCCGCAATATTATTTTAAGATTTTGTTTGTCAATTTTGTAGCTGTATATAACTCATTACTAAATTGTGGCTAAAATTTCAAGCATTTGACCCTGACCACAAATTTTAAAAGGAAGAGCTTAGCCAAAATAAGAGTAATATAAAAAGAAATATTTTAGTGGATGTGAATGTTTCACGCCATCCTTTTAAATTCTTCTTCATTATCTCCATTTGTTTTTTTATTTGATGACTATGTATAATTTATATCGACTTTAAAGTATTAATTTAATTTGTATAGTCTATGTAATGATAATAAAATATAATAATATTTGAGAGTGAGTTGTTCGAATGGTAAGAATTTTTTATTTTTAATTTGAAGATTGCAAATTTGAATAATCAAGGTAGCAAAAAAGATAAAAGCTTCTAGGAAAGGATTAAAAATATGAAAAAAACTCAAATCGAACTAGTGTCGAAAGTTTTATCTAAGATAAAATTTCTTTAAAATTTACCTTGTAAATCAAAAATTATGCTTAAAAAAACATTCTTAAAAAAACAATTGCCTGCGAAATTATTTATGCCCAACAAATTTATATACAAGTGTACTTTAACTCACAGTTTTTCATTAAATGAATACAAAAATTAAAAATCAACCCAAAACAAAGGGTCGATACAAAAAAAAAAAAAAAAACTTATTTTATTTCATTAATAGGTTTGTTTAAGGTAAAGGGGAATAGGGCCGGGTTAAACAATTTAAGCAGTTCACAATTGAATTCAATATTAAAAAGATGGGATTGAGGATAAATATTTTTATTTTAGTATTGCCACGTGTCCCATAATAAGAAGTTGGGCTAAATCTTTGCAAATGTATAACTAGGAAATTGTATAGCAACCTATAAATCTAAATTAAATGTTATAATAGTAGTTTTTCTATTTGTTATTTGTAATACATATTTTTATATTTTATGTTATTTTATTTGTATATCGAAATATGTAAATGGATCAATTTGATGCGTGTGTTATAAAAATTAATGGCTTAAGTCATCTATAGCCCTTCAAAGTTGTTTGCATAATTCATTTAGACACCTCAACTAAGTCTTGTACCAATTGAACACTTTTACCCTCCCAAATTTGAACCATTTAAACATTTTTTTGACAATAAGCTAAAAGTATAATGTGTGTGAAATACACTCGCGATGACATGACAATTTGACGAATTAAATATTGACATTTGGTATTTTGGAGTCCAAAAAATTTATTATAAAGTAAAAGAAAAAAGAAATTATTTTTATGTTAAAAATTAAAAAAAAAATCATATAAATCCTATAGATTACCTACCCTTCTATTCCATGGAGTCCAAAACTCCTCTCCTTCTACAGTTCCCCAGCCCCAACGGCAACCCTCCTCTGTAAGTATTCTAATATTTTCGAATCTTCTTAATTCATCTGCATCATAGAGTTCAAGCAAAAGGATTAAGATTTATTGCTATTTTTGATGAGTTACGGAAGAGTTGGGCCGTAGGTAAAAAAATAAAAAAAAATTTAATTGTCTTCCTCGTTTCATTTTTGACGAAAAGATGAACTTCGTGGGAAAATTAATCAGTTTCGATGAATAGCGGATTTCTTTTTGAGTTCTAGAGGTGATTATATTTTTCGATTGAAAAACACCCTTACAAAAATGTGAGCAAAATAAAAAATAAATAGGAAAGTCCTTTAACAAAATTCACACAAATCTCCATCAATTTAATGCCAAAACACTGCATTAACAACAAAGAAAAAAATAAATTTCAAGCTCTCTATAAATTCAATGCCGATGATGATGGTGGCTGTCATGACAGCAGTGAAGGTACCACCAATCCTCCTAGTATGATGGTAATAGAAAAACAAAAAAAATGATAAAGGTAGAAGGCAATGGAGAAACAAAAAATAATGATGGAGGTAGAAGTGAAGTATCCGGAGAAAAAACGAGGAAGAAGATGGATGTATAATGGCGGCAATGACTAGTGGTGGAGGAAGTGATCGGTAAAGAGGGAGGAAGAAAAAGAACATTTTTTCCTAAAAAAGCCTACTTAAAGACCTCTCGCCCCTCTTTGGGGTGAATCACAAACAATGTGTCATGTAAGCAAAAAATGTTAAGATGGTTCAAATTGAGAGGGTAAAAGTGTTTGATAGATAAAATTCTTAGTTGAGGTGTCTAAGTGAATTATGCGAACAACTTTAAGGAGCCGTATAGGATCCATCCGTATACCTAATACAAGTAGACCCATTCGACATACATATGTATTGTATAAAAAATAATTGTAGCCGTTTGTATATAGAAATATACGAATAGATTCATTTTGTATATATATCTGTTGTATATATATAGTAATTTTATTTGTATACAATAACTATATTTAGATAGTACATCGAAATATATAAATATAAAATTTATATATATATATACCAAAATATACATATTAATAATCATAGCAAACACTAAGTTTTCTATGAAGTATAATTTTACAAACTACCACTATGACATATAAGATAATTTTTTTATTTGCTAAGCTTAAAATTTGCTCTTCTTATAATATACAAGATATATTAGGCCTTTCTCCATTAAAAACTCACGAAGAGTGTCTGAATTTTTCCATATAAGGTTATATTTGGGCCTTGTTCCTCAAATTTGATTGTAAATGCATCCAAAGATACAATGCTAATTCTGATCCATATAATTAGGACATCATCCAGAAGGGTTCACGGGTATCGATTCGATAAAAATTATATTATATATATAAATAAATTTTATATATTTACGTAAATATACTATCGAACCCCTTCATAAACAAGAAATAGGCTGGAGCATAGTGATAAATTTCCTTTTAAATTGACCCTGAATCAAAAGAGTTAAATTTTATTATGAAAATTTTGAATACGTCAATATAATATTTTTATGAATTATATGGAGAATAGAGAGTAACCTCTCT